TTTATTAGAATGCTTATTCTAATATGAAATTTTTGGAATATTCTGCCCAATTTTCCATATTGCAACAGTGATGACTGTAAATTGCTACAAACTACAAGCCAGGTCTCTAGCTACAGGGACATATGGAAACTACAACTCCCATGAGAACTACATCTCCATATCAAAATTGCCCATAAACACTCAATTCAAGTAACCACTGGAAGGACCAATTTTTCACCTGATTTTTTTTAAAGTTGGCTAGTCTTGCATCCAAACTAAGTCTGGGATCAAAAAACAAGTCTGGCATCACAAACCAAGCCTGGCATCATAAAGCAAGTCAGGCATCAAAAAGCAAATCAGGCATCAAAAAGCAAGTCAGGCATCAAAAAGCAAATCAGACATCCAGAAGCAAGTCTGACATCCAGAAGCAAGTCTGACATCCAGAAGCAAGTCTGGCATCCAAAAAGCAAGTCTGGCATCCAGAAGCAAGTCTGGCATCCAAAAGCAAGTCTGGCATCCAAAAGCAAGTCTGTTGTACAAAAGCAAATCTGGCGTCCATAAGCAAGTCAGGTGTCCAAAAGCAAGTCTGGCATCCAAGCGCAAGTCTGGCATCCAAGCGCAAGTTTGGCATCCAAGCGCAAGTTTGGTGTCCAGAAGCAAGTCTGGCGTCCTAGAGAAAGTCTGGCGTACAAAAGCAAGTCTGGCATCCTAGAGAAAGTCTGGCGTACAAAAGCAAGTCTGGCGTCCTAGAGAAAGTCTGGCGTACAAAAGCAAGTCTGGCGTCCTAGAGCAAGTCTGGCTTACAAAAGCAAGTCTGGCATCCAAAAGCAAATCTGGCCTCCAGAAGCAAGTCCGGGTTCTTAAAGCTTGTCTAAGGGTCCAAAAGCCAGTCTGGTGCCCAAAAGCAAGTCTGGCATCAAAAAGATGTCTAGCATCCATAAGCAAGTCTACAGCTCACATGACAACTTTAGCTCCATTCAACAGTTTTGCCAGTCAACAGTCTCTCAGGAGGACAAAAATTTCACAAGCAATTCTCATAGTGAAACCTATTTTTACCCAGAATTTTGAAAGAACTGTACCTAGTAAAGAATTTGATTTGCAATATTTCAATTATTATTCAAATTATTTACAAATGTCCATAACCAAGTCTGGTGTACAAAATCAAGTCTGGGGTACAAAAGCAGGTATGGCGTACAAAAGCAAGTCTGGTGAACAAAAGCAAGTCTGGCATCCAAGAGCAAGTCTGGCATCCATAAGCAAGTCTGGCATCCCTAACAGGACCCTAAGCACGTCTGGCATCCATAAGCAAGTCTGGCATACAAAAGCAAGTCTGGCATACATAAGCAAGTCTGGCATACAAAAGCAAGTCTGGTGTACAAAAACAAGTCTGGTGTACAAAAGCAAGTCTGGCATACAAAAACAAGTCTGGCATACAAAAGCAAGTCTGGTGTCCAAAAGCAAGTCTTGCATCCAGGAGCATCAAGTCTGGCATCCATAAGCAAGTCTGGCATCCCTAACAGGATCTTAACCCTACGCACGTCTGGCATCCATAAGCAAGTCTGGCATACAAAAGCAAGTCTGGTGTACAAAAACAAGTCTGGCATACAAAAACAAGTCTGGCATACAAAAGCAAGTCTGGTGTCCAAAAGCAAGTCTGGCATCCAGGAGCATCAAGTCTGGCATCCATAAGCAAGTCTGGCATCCCTAACAGGACCTTAAGGTGGTGCTTGAGAGCCGCGAGCCCTCAGGCAGGCTTGGCTGGATCCCTATGGGAATCTATCACTACGTATAGTCATTATAACTCCGCTCGTAAATAAAATATCAATCTGAATTTTGTCATGCTTATTCAGCTATTTATTTACAATTTCTCTACAGTAACAAAAAATATGTAAATTTTATCTAACATTAGTTATGATAGAGGAAAATGTTGAATATCAATCAATCAATGTTCATTATACTATATGCGACTTACCTAATTTTGTGAGACACAAGGATGTAGTACTATTTATTCTCTATTGATCGATATTAAAGACATATCTGAATCAACCTCTATTGTGTAGATATTTTCTAACAAAGTATTTTTTCATTACTGCTAAATCGGAGATTTCACATTTTCTTTGGAAGCAGCAGTTCTCATGAAGGAGTTGGGGAAAAATGAGGGGAAACACACCTCGTAAATTACCCGCCTGTCACTCTTGCGGTGAAGGGGAGCACAATGAGGGGCGAGTAATAATGGATGGCCAGTGGTCGGCCGAGGCCAGTTAGTTCTAGCCGACTGCAGGACATTCCTCGGCCACCTATGAGACGGCCGTAGCCCTAAGATGGGTGCTGGCTCAGGTATCATATTACAAAGGCAACAAGCTCGAGCGCAGCAACTTGCCGATCTGAACACAGAACAAAGATTCCACATCCTTGTCGCGAATTTCTCGCTCACGGACTTCGCCGCACTGTGACGACTGGCCTTAACCCTAAGCACGTCTGGCATCCATAAGCAAGTCTGGCATACCAAAGCAAGTCTGGCATACATAAGCAAGTCTGGCATACATAAGCAAGTCTGGCATACAAAAGCAAGTCTGGTGTACAAAAACAAGTCTGGTGTACAAAAGCAAGTCTGGTTTCCAAAAGCAACTCTTGCGTCCAAAAGCAAGTCTGCATCCATAAGCAAGTCTGGAGCCCATAAGCAAGTCTGGCATCCAAAAGTAAGTCCACTGTGCAGAGAGTGGACGAATATTGCAAGATCTTTGGAAATGCTTCAGTAGCAAAATTTACACCTTCAGAAGATCTTGCCAACACATTTAGATTGTAATTCTTGCATTTAATATATTTGTCAGTCTTCAGCAAACTATTTAGAAAAAAAGTAAGGTTTCCGGTACCGTAAAATGGGGTAACTTAGACCACTTTTTTTTATAAATGATGCCATTTTTTTACTAGCTAAATTAAACTTGAATTGAAACATGCAAAATACTGGTCTATACTCTAGCTTCACTCACCATGAATTGCAGGCTCCTGCCTCTCATAGTCTTTATATAATTTCAAAAAAAGTGATGGTCTTTGTTACCCCAGCTCTTGGGGTAACTTAGACCGGGTGGTAAAATCAATTATATTTTTTGGTAAAATAACTCCAGGTTTTGGTGCATTGTAGTAGAACTTTTCTAGTTACATAGGCAAATGACAAACTTGAGGAAAGTGTCATAGTTTGCAAATGGGGGGTCCCGCTCCCCAGGTGGTCTAAGTTCCCCCAAACGGGAGAACTCTGACCACCTAATGGCAGCCCTGACAGGGTTAACATAGACCGGCCTGGAAATAAAGTTAAATTACCATATATAAGACTCTGTAGAGTCTGAAACCTAAAGAAAAAACATAAATAGGCTGCCAAACATAAAATATGATAGAAATGGAATCACGGCTGGCAAATCCATAAAACCACGGCTCGAAAAATTCAGTCACGGCTCGCCAAGTAGATATATTCCATACTAGGTTGACACTTGCTGTACAATCGGGCTGTTTTTAGGGTAAAATTAGTTATTTGGGTAACACGTGCATGCAACCTTGTAAATAAGTTTGTGGCTTGTAAATAGCTTTTCATTACTCAGCCTTAGCGTAAATGGCTTTTCATTAAAAATTACCCGGCAACGCATTTTGAAAATGGTCAGCGATGCTTTGGGCTTAAAAACCCATATATTGGCGATGCTGCTTCCACCTTCTGTAAGACTGTACCCTGCCCTGGATTAGCAAGTCTGGCATTATTGGCATCCATAAGCAAATCTGGCATCCATAAGTAATTATGGTGTCCATAAGCAAGGCAAGTCTGGCGTCCATAAGCTGATGAGCAAGTCTGGCATCAATAAGCATTTTATTAACCAAGTCTACACACCACACTCTACAGCTCACATGACAACTTTGGCTTCATTTAGTGATTCAACAGTATGGCCAGTCAACACTCAACAGTCAATTCTAAAAAAACTTTCAGGAGCAGGAGGACAACATTTTCACAAACAATTTTTATAGTGAAAAGATAAAAAACTTATTTTTACTGATAATTTTTAAAAGAACTGTACCTAGTGCTAGTAGGCTAGTACCTAAAGAATTCAACATTAACCAACAGTCTTATGACTCTCATCTCTTATGAAACTGTCAAGGACTTTCTTATGAAAGCTTTTCCTTCCAATTCCAAATCCAAAGAATCGGCGACAGGCCACATCAGGCCTACCGGTACTCTTCAGCGCCGACATCGCTATGTTATGTTAAGGGGAGCGTTTGCCCAAAAATTTATCTCCGTTATTTACAGACGGACCACTCTGAAACTTGGTACACTTATGAAAAATAAAAAAAAGCTCGCTTTTTGTTCCTGTGAATTAAAAAAAATGAAAGAAAACGTAAAATTCTTAGAAAACGGCCAAAAAGGGGGGTACTGTAGAAATGTATCTAGTCTTAGGATTTTCAAGCTACAACATCGAGATACATATCATTCGATGCATAGGGTGGATAGCTAGAGGTCAGCATAGCCCAAGTCCACAGTGCGATTCATATACCTTCCCGAGCGTAACACAGCCGGGAATCTTCACGGCTTTCGACACAAAGGGCCCACCACAACGGCGCCGTTCAGTCACAGGCCAGAGCACAACTGGCCGGAGCACAACAGGCCCTACCGCAACAGGCCCTACCGCAACAGGCTATTCCTAAAGGCCCATTTACACTAGTGGCAACGACATGCGCTTTGAGTCGTTTGCTGCAGTGGCGTTCACATTATGTTTGTTCTCGGTAGTTTGAGACCGCGCGCTTTGAACACTAGTAGCCACCTAGACGTCAATGAGGATGGATGTAACCGAATTTGAGCAGTGGGCCATTGTTCTCGGGTGTGCTGCGGTCCGTCATTCTTCGCACTATGCCAGTTGTAAACGAGAATTTAGCATAGGCATCATAATTAGAGAACTAGCACATTCAAAAAGATAGTTTATAAAAAATATATTCTATTCTCAACTAAAAAGTTCCAATATTCGTACCGATATTATATTGTAGTGAACGTCTCGAAAATGTATTATTTCATTTTGTCATGAATTATAAAATAAGGCATGTTCAGGACAATTATAAATGTACCTAGTTAGCCTGCACATACGTCTGATGACAATATTAAAATAAAATGGAATTTCATAATTCAAAAAAGGTAAACAATGTTTGTCAAATAATAATCTAGACTTTCCCCAAAGTGCAACACTGTACCGAAATGCGGATCGTAACCGATTTATTCACTTGGCATTACTTTGTTACATTGAGCACATTAAACTGGGGTAAGAATCTAATAATAATAAGATTTGTTTATTTTTGTATCCTCTTTGTGTTGTGAGGTGTTGCGTGTTGCTATTGTAATAACAAATATGTAAATATTGTCTCATATCAAAACAAGATCTGCCATGTGGCAGCTGTGTGAGTAAAACCTTAAGTTGATAAGAAATATTCCTGTGAGATATAAAATGTAATAGTCATGTTGTCAGCGGCTACGACCTATGATATGTATGTGTTCTGTGTACTGATTTATGTAACATTGGCAGGTATTTGGTCTGAGCTACTCTTCTAGTGGCATCCCTCAAATGTCAAGATCTAAGAAAGAAACTTGAAAAGCATCTCTCCTTGTTGCTTGTTTGAAACACCCTCCTGATACCATTAAAGTTTTGTGGATGTCATTCTAGAATCTGTTCATGAACTTTGAGGCTAGAATAGTGAGGTCCCACAACTGGTGACCCCAGTGCTGATACAAATCGCATGCCAGGTGAACAGTGACTCAGTGAGTGAGAAAATTGATGAATTGACAAGACCAAATACCCCAGAAAATCAAAATACAATCAGTGGGATAAATAAACAAAAGTGTAAAAGATAACAAGACTAAAAGTGAAGAAGAAAGAAGACAGTATATCAAGAACATCAAAATCACACAAGAATGGCGGAACAAGAAGACCTAAGCTCCAGTATGCAGAGTGTGCACATTGCTGAAGTCTCGCTAATGATCAACTCGAAGGCACAAGACTTTACAGAAACAGACGTTGAAGCATGGTTTGCCATACTGGAAAGCCAGTTCATATTGAGAAAGATAAAGACAAATGACCTGAAATTCCACAATACATTAGCAGCACTACCAACAGATGTGTTTTCTAAAATTCCAAAGGATGTAATCAAAAATGCAAAATATGAGGAACTCAAATCAACTCTGCTAGCCAGCTACGAGAGGAGTTATGCTGAAATAATGGCAAAGTTTATGAAAACCACAAGTCTATCTGGAAGGCCGTCACAATTCCTACAAGAAATCATGACAATGGCCAATAAATTAAATGTCGGGTCAGACATGATTCGGCACAAATTCCTAGAGGCTCTCCCACCAAGTGTAGCTATCTCGCTGGCAACACGAAGTGACCTTAGCCTAGAACAACTAGGAAAAGTAGCAGACCAGATCTTTCCATACCATGGCTCAAAAAATTCGGTGAATGCAATCACGGAAAGGGGAGATATTTCATCTCGCAATCGCAACTCATGGCAGGAGTCACTCACGAGAACCCCAAATGACAGCATACCAAGAGGAGTACAACCATACAGCCCTGATCAACGCCCAAAGGTTTGCCGAGCCCACATTTATTTTGCAGACAAAGCCAACAATTGCACATCATGGTGCAAGTGGCCTAATAAGCAGAATTGTCAAATTCAGCAACGCTCTCGCTCTGCTTCACCAGCATATTCGCGATCTTCATCCCCAAGACCCTGCTCCCCAGTAAAAAACTAGTTAAGCGAGTCGCTATGGCTTCAACCGACTCGCCGCTTCTAGAAGTTGCTGCCAGCATCGGAGCCCAAAACATCAAGTTCATCGTGGACACCGGCTCTTCGGTATCCATCATCCCATCCTCTTTCATTAAAGGAGCCCTGATCCAACCCACTAACATTTCCTTGTCATCGGCAAATGGACAGGAGATCAAATGTAAAGGTCAGACGAAGTTGGAAATAAAAATACCAAACCTATGACGCACATTCAAATGGATTTTCATCATTGCCGAAACTGTGAAGCCACTGCTGGGAATAGATTTTCTCAACAACTTTCAGCTGATGGTTGACTGCGCGGCAAAGAAGATTACTGACCCTAGGACAAAGCAGTCTGTAAACATGACAACATCAAGACACGTGGGCAACATACTAGTCAACGACGTAAAACTTCCAAGATCTGTGGAAGAAATCCTCAAAACCTACCCAGAATTAACATCTCCACACACAAGACAGGACCGGAAGAACAGCAAGGTGTTCCACAGGATCCACACTTCAAGCCATCCACCAGTGTATGCCAGCCCAAGACAACTGTCTCAAGAAAAATTAAAAATTGCTACTCAAGAATTCAAGAACCTCCATGAAAATGGGACCATCTCAACATCCACCAGTCCATGGAGTTCACCTCTGCTCCTAGTGGCAAAGGAAAACGGGAAGGTAAGGTGCTGTGGTGATTACCGCGCACTTAATGCAATAACGACACCTGATAGGTACCCTATACCGCATTTGAGTTCCTTGCTGCAAGACTGCACAATAAAACTAGGTTTTCAAAAATAGACTTAACATCTGCTTTTCATCAAATTAGAGTGCATCCTGATGATGTATGTAAAACTGCTGTTACAACCCCTTTTGGACTGTTTCACTTTAATTGTATGCCTTTTGGTCTCAGAAATGCTAGCGCAACTTTCCAATGCATGATGGATAATATCTTTAATAATGTAAAATGTGTTTTCGTGTACATTGATGACATCCTAGTGTTCTCAGACGATGAAATTTCTCATGTGGAAGATTTGAAAGCCGTGTTTGAAATATTGCATGAGCATGATCTGAAGATCTCGCTTGGAAAATGTGTTTTCAATTCAACAGAAATAGACTTTCTAGGATTCAAAGTAGATTCAAACGGTATCAAACCGACAAGTGACAAAATCAAGGAATTGGAGGATTATCCACCTCCAAAGGATTCCAAGGCATTGAGGCATTAATAGCTATCTACTAAGCGCCGCGCTTGTGTTGCATGAGGCATGGCCCCTGTCAATTGCTAGCTCGTCAATCGGTCAAGAAGCGCATGCAGAGGCTGCAAAGCGCCTCTGCATGCGCTTTGAGGCACTTGATTCGCGTGTGTTGCCCCTAGTGTGAACGGGCCTTACCGTAACCTAACCTAACCTGCGCCTCTGTTGCGGTAGGGCCTGTTGCGCTCCGGCCAGTTGGGCTCCGGCGCTGTGAAGCAGTGGCTGTGTTGTGCAAAGCGGATTTACTGTTAGCCGGAGTTACCCACAGCTCATTGATCTGAGGCTATGTGCAGATATTGCATGCTGATGGTTGGCGTTGGGCCCAGGGCCTGTTTACGAGTCAATTTTGTGACCCACGGCTGCGCTCCCGATGCGTAAAGACCATATCTAAAAAAGTACCATTCGGTTTTTTCGAAATTCTAATTTTTGTGGGTGTGGGGCATTTCTCGTAAATTTTTCTGAAATTTTTCAATTTTCTCCCAACCCCTCTTTTTGCAGAATAAAATTCAAACTATAACGAAATTAGAAAAAAGTCGATGGTACTTTTTTAGATCTTTTCTTTGCAAATCGAATGGTATATGTCTTATTGTTGTAGCTTCAAAACTCTAGGAGGAGATAGGTTTGCAGTGACGATAAGTCAACTTTTTAGTAGAGCCCGACAAAGTCGCGCGCACCCCGAAATAGACATTCAAAGGTGCAAGGTTGCAAGACTAGACAATACTGCAGCTCAATTTCTATCAAGGATGGTGCAAACGACGGAACGAGAACCATCCTGTACGACTGCAGGTGGATAGCTGAAGCACAGCGTGTTCAGACTAGCTATTTAAGTGTGCTACCAGTGATTTCTGTCTATCTTAAATGTTAAAGAACTCCACCACCCCTAACCCTTTCGCGATCTGTCGTGAACGCATAAATCAACGTACAGAGAGGGTTTTGGTACCGTTAGATGCGTCAGAATGTAAGCTTTAAGATGAATATAAAAACTGAAAAAGTCAAAATTTTCGATTTTGGGGCAGGCGCTCCCCTTAAGCGAGCGATGCCTCCACCTGTCATATTCCAGTTAGAGTTTCGATCACCGGTCGCTTGGGCGGGCGGCTTGGCTGCCAGTAAAGTATTTGGAGGAATATTAGGCGAGTTTTTAATTTAATGCACAGGTATGACATGTGGTTACCATTACACAGACGGTAAGAAAACTTGAACTTAATTTAAAATTGTTTGTAGTGGGATTAGCAAAGCTACATTGAGCACCAGCATTGGCAAGATTTAATTTGTTGATTTTCTTTTGCGGAGAGTCGTAAATCGGGCAAGTAGGTAATGAATGGTCAGCGCGCTTCCTGTCATGGGAACACAGGTTTCAGAACGTCTTGTTGACGCTGACATCAGCAGCCATAGCGGTCGCATCGACTCATGCATCTCTAGGTCTGTTCGGTTTCACCATATCCCTGCCCAATTTCACTCGCTTCTGCTCAATTGGATCACTAGCTATCTACTGCGATGGTTCTCGCCTTATTGCTCCAGAGTCTGCTGCGTACGGTGTGTACATTCCTTCTCAGAATATTGCTACTTCCTGGCGTTTACATCCCGACTGCAATGTGCTGACCAATGCACTTACTGCCATCTATCACTCGTTGGTTATTATAACATAACATAGTGATGTAGGCGCTGAAGTGTAGGTGTATGCACTGACTCTCATTCAGCGTTGCTCCTGTTGTGTACAACACAGGGTCCTTCAACCAGATGCTCCCTGCTGGTCTTAAAAATCCGCAGGCTGCTTAGAAGGCTTACTCTTCAACTTCAGGTAACTTTGCAGTGGGTAAAATCCCATGCTGGGGATTGCCGGCATACATGGAAATGAGCTAGCTGATCGTACGGGCAGCCAAGCTGGGTCATGGACTATATCATAGCACCTATCATACCAAAGAATTTTCCGATGCCCTCTACTGTCTTCGCCGTAAATTTCTGTCTTGTTGGGAAGAAGATTGGTCCTGAACCGTTGCTGTCTCTGGCAAAGGCAGACACCTTGCATCAATTAGAGGAAATTTGCAGCCAATACCCTGGGTGCACGCAAAGTCCAAAGACCTGTCGAGTAGCTGTTGTACTGGCTCGCCTTCGTCTGGGGCATGTAGGGGTAAAAGCCTACCTGCATCGCTTCAAAATGTCAGACTCACCACTGTGTGGGGCTTGCAGAGTGAAAGAAACTATTGACCATTTCTTGCTAGAATGTAGGAGCTACAGAGATGCTCGTCAACTAATGAGGCAGACCTTGGCAAACATTGGCTTTGAGATGCTGCCAGTGCGTGCACCTCTTGGAGGAGAAGACATCGCAAAACGGGAGCATCGTCTTATCATCGGGGTGGTGACTGAACTCCGCGCAAGCACTAGAAGACTGGAAACACTGTGAAGTCACAATAACCGAAACAAACAAAGCGGCTCGGGCCGGCTCCCAACTGATAATGCACTCACAAGTCTGAAACAAATTGTCTGTTGCCCAGGTGTGACAACCGACCTGTGTGAGGTCATTTACTACACCTAAAAGAAGCAGAATACATCATCATCAATTTTCCCAACGTAACGTTCAGACGCTTCAAAAATG